TCGGCCGTGGACGTTGGGCCCTGCGGGTGGCTCGACTGCTCGTCTCGAGGCTGCTCGTGCCGTCCGCTTGGCGTTGACCGCGTTGCCATAGCCGGTGTCGCCGTCGCCAATGCACGGCACGGCTTTGAGCGAGCCGGTGATGCGGCGCATTGCGTGCTCCATCTCGCCGTACGAGAGCAGCCCCGTGTCTGGGAGGCCGTGCGCCGCAGCCACGGAGAAGCCGCTCGCAAAGGTGACGGGGAAGCCGCTCGCCTCGACGAGCCGCGCCGAGAGCGGGTCGAAGCAGCACGGCATCAGGTGACAGCCAGGCCTGGCGAGGAGGGAGCGCAGGCGGGCGGGCGCAGACGACATGGCCGCGTGAGGGCCGACGGCGATGCGGAGCAGCGGGAGGGAGCACCCTATGGCCTCTGCCGCCCGCTGTGAATAGCTTTTCTTCTTCTCAATAACAAGGTCTGTGCCCTGGGCCTCGGTCTCGTTCGTTCCCAGCTGCTCGGTGTCGAACTCTCTTCACACGAGCAGCGAGGAGTGGCTCCGGCAATAGCAGACAGTGACAACCACGCTGTGCTGCTCAAAAGAACGCCGCATGGGAAAAGAAGAAAAGCTGCACAGGGTTCCTGGAGGCAGCAAGATGATCAGCACTCAGCCTTCCCTCCCCCTCCCGGATGGAAGTACTACCTGAGCTCGACCGTGCTTAACTTCGCTGTTCAGATGGGAAGCGGTGACCCACGGTGATATGGCCGATCATGTCAAGAGAAGTGTAGCAGCAAATCATAAAGGCAAGGTTTTATGATAGGCGTCTTGTATTCTGCGACAGCGTATTTTGTTTATGCTCCCTCGCGCTTACATGGCATGGTGAAGCATTGGTGTTATGCCGTATCGGATTACGGCCTCGGCGTATGGTAGGGTCGGCCAACCCTCTGCGAGAATGCATACCTCGTCCCCACCTGCTGACAGACCAGGCCAGGTATGCAGACGCGACGATGCCACATCCGCAAAAAGTTGGAACCCACCGCGGGCCAAGTTGCAAGCTTGCGTTGCGCCCGCTTGCGTGCGCACCTGGACGCTGGACCTCTCCACCAGTGAACGATCCCTTTTTAATCGCCCAATTATCTCAGGGATGTAGAGAGCGTCACCGGCCCTGGACTTGTGGTCGCAAGTTTTCACGCCGTGTGCGGGCATGAGTAATCTGCCTTCACAAGGGGGGCCGACACGAGCGACGTTGTCACCCGTCACACTTTTTACCACCATTCACCGAGCGGTCCAATCTTCCCGCGTCGACCTCGTCCGGCGGTCGCGCAGGCGCCGCGGCCGCCCTGCTCGACGGCCGTGGATCCTCACCCCGCGCCTCGCCCTCCCCGGCAAGCGAGGCCAGGGCTGCGGGGTTGAGCTCCTCCATCTCGTGGACCCGCAGCAGGCTGCCCGGGCTGCGCGCCAGAGAGTAGCCGCGGCCACGCAGGGCGTGGAGGGCGCGCCGGACGCCAACCCCGGAGAGGTAGGCGGCGAGGAGGAGGAGGGGAGCGAGCAGCGCCGGGAGGAGCGGCGACGCCTCCAGGGGCCGGGGAGGGGCGAGGGGCGGGGGCGGCCCGGGCGGCTGGGGCGGCGAGGCGGGCGGCGGAACCGGGCACTCTGGGACTCCGGCGGGGGAGGATCGCGGCCCTCCACCCGCTCGCTCGCCGCCGCCGCCGCCGCCGCCGCCGCCCCGTAGCAGGGTGCACACCTGCGCCCCGCAGCAGGTGTGGAGGTCGGGGCCCGTTCCCGCCGCGGTGCGCCCGAAGCCGACGAGCGTCTTGCCGCCCGGCCCCGACCCGAACTCTGTGTTGGAGTGGATGGCGGTCCGGTCGAGGACGGCCGTGCCTCCGTGCAGGTACATGCCGCCGCCGATGCCAGTGCCAAAGAGGTCGATGTCGTACCCGGCGTCGGCGGCGTTGTCGTGTACGCTCGACGAGGCCAGCTTAACCGCCGAGCCGGAGGAGACAAAGACGCCTCCGCCGTTGGCGGCGCGGTTGTCGCGCACGGTGCAGGAAGTGAGCTCCACGCGGCCGCCGACCACGTACAGC